AAGATCCCTCAAGACTCTTCCCGTTTCTACTCCGTCGTTGATATTCTCTGCTCCTGACCTCGGCCTCTCCACTTCATTCGATTTTTCCTCACCTCTCACAACCCTGAGTGTTGCAGATGTCGGCTCTGGGGGTAATTTCGGCATTTTGCAATCGTCAACCTTTTGTTTCCACTACCAGTCCCCTAGGTACGAGTAGACATTCTATTCTCCGATAATGGAACTAATGTTGACTTGTGCTTGGAAGAGTTCTATTTGCTGTTGTAGTTTTCTCGCAGTGGCTGCCTTCTCTAAGCGCACTTGGAAAATCCCGCGAAACCTTGTGATTTTGCTATGCTCATCATGCTATTCCACACCAGGTATTGTTTTCTTTAGTTCTTTGCATTCATTTTGGAATCTATTGTAAACGACAGTGATACTTAAGAGTGTCGAGATTCTCGATAGAGTAGTCCCGACCATGCAAGCAAGAATGCCGAGATTCTCAACATCCGACATAACTTCACCTTTGTTCCAGGCCCCCGGAAAGGAAAGCCCCGGGGCACCCAAGGTGTAGGGTACAAGGAGGTTTGTAATAGAGTTATGACCCGACCCAATGTGAATGAGGAAGCTCCGATACAGAAACCACCGGTCAAGGTGGAAGTGAAAAATTTGCTTAACCCTTATCCCGTTTGTTTCTCGCGAGGGGGATTCTCGACAGGCGCGTGAGGTTGTGAAAAATTGCCTGTAACTCTTTGTCAAGGCTTTTCTCTGAAAAGTTTTTGCTTCGATGTAAAGTGCAAAGAACTAAGAATTAAAAAACCTAACATTTGGGAATATCAGTCAAAATGAAAACGATAGAGGAGCAGTTTTCGCTGAAAAAGTTTTACAAAAAACCACCAGGAATCAGCTACTGATCTGATAGAATTTGTAACCAATCGTGGGGTGAGATTGCTCCCACATCCTCCCTATTCATCGGACCTCGCGACTTCACGGTTTCCCTGATAAAGTTCCATCTGAAAGGCCGCAGCTTCGTCGATGCAGGCGCTCTCCAATCAGCTGCGACCAACGCGTTGAAGGTGGCGGCCACGCATGGCTTAGACAGCGTTCTTCCCACGTTTGTACAAAGCTTAGAAGTGTGTCACAAGCTAAGGAAGCTTTTCCGAAGGAGATCATGCTGAAACCAAACTTTTATACCTAGTTTTCACGTATGAAGGCCAGCCATGGAACTTTCTGATGGGTCCTTGTATGTAAGGCTCATTTAAGATGATAGATCTTTGGCACAAAAATTTCCAGTGAACAAATTTTTGCAAAAATGTTAGTTTACAAAAATTGCTTTTACAATTCCGCAATTTACAAAGAAATCTTCACAAGGCTTAAGAGTTTCTAACCAGCACCTTTGTTCAGAGTCATTTTCATTCTCTCATCACAAAGTGGTTTTAGGATTTCATTTCGGGAGGGTTGAGGTCTGCGCCATGACTATTTTTTTTTTATACAGTCGTCCCTCGCCACTTCGTGCTTCGACTTTCGCGGCTTCACTCTATCGCGGTTTTTTCAAATATATTCATTAAAAAGTTGATCGAGATAGTGAAAATGACACAGCGCGCGCTCGGTTGTCTGAGTCAATTATACACGAAGTGGCGAGGGACGACTGTACTTGTCATTGTAAGTCTTTGTGACATATCTGGATTTTTCTGCAAGTTGCAGTGTTTAATAAGTCATGAGCTATTAAATATAGAAAAGACCAAGTACTGCACCGTTTACACCGACGAATAGCAGTATGGCAAAAATTTAAGGAAGATATTTCGGGGAGGGGGGGGGGGGTTTGAACCCCATGAACCCCCAAATACGGCCTTGGTTACTTTACTTCGAAACACCGACTGCCAGGAAACTGACAACTGCAAAACTACATCAGTGTGTGTTGCGAAGTTTCTAAAACTGTAATTAATTACTGTGTAAATTGAGATGGGATGAACCCAGGAATTTAAATGTTTTAGTGATGTATGGACAACTTATATTTATAATTACAAAAATTAATGTAATATTTACTGTAACTTCATTTTTCGACTTTTGGCCAGGTTTTGACGACTCCTGAACCACTGTGCATTCCCTTCGTCGACTTCTCTGGTCTTGTTGGAAACGTCTTCTTCTGTATCTTAGACTAGACGGAAACAATTCTCACCACAAATCCTTGGAAACCATCAGCTATACGCCTCGAACGGATGGAAAAACTACTTGTACCAGGACTAGTCAGGCCACAATTCTCTCGACTATTTTACTCTTTTGCGGAATTTGTTCTGTCCAATCTTGCTACTTCCTTATTCTCTTTCCAGAATGGTCCATTCCCGGACGAGAACCAGCCCCCTTTCTTCTCAACATAGAGACTGGTCAGACCGGGATAACTGCAACTAATGAGAGCTTGGTGGCAGCACAGAACATCAACTCATCCTTCTCATGAGAGGTGATTAAAAGAAATAATTTCGCTCGGGACAAGGTCCCCCCTTTCCGAGGCACACCTCACCTACTATTGCGGTTATCGTTCAGCAATAGACCAAATGTCCTGAGACACATCCTCTATTCTGTCCTACGTAAACAATCTTTCTCAAGAACTCTGTCCCAAAAAATTTTGGACTCTTTTTCAATGTGTAGCTTCTCGTTATTTGGTTCAGACTATCACTATGCACTTTTGAGGGCTGACTAAGACATCAAATGAGCACATGCTTGCAAAGTTGTATCAAAATCCATCGATTCATTTCGGAGATGCAGCAGCTTATTCTAAGGCAGGTTGCGTCAAACCATTTCCGCCGGCCGCACTCAGCGCGGGCACAGCCAACCTGAGTGGAAACATACCGTCCCCACGTCGCAAGAGAATGCGAACCGTGCAGCGTTTGGGTTTCGATCAATGTCACGTGACTCTTCACTGACTGACACGGTGCATTTTGAGCACATCATCCCAGTGTCACACAGAGAAGCTTATTTAAGTTATCTTGGTCGTGCACATCAAGTCAGTCATCCTGTATGAGGCACAATAATGAATTTGGAATAATGCGCCCATACAGTTCTGGCCGCACTCCCTTACTGCTGGTACACTCTGAATAATATCCTGTATTTCAGAGACTAGCGAATAGAATGTTGTTATAACTTTGCATGCATGTGCTCATTTGATGTCTTAGTCCTCAAAAGCGCACAGCGATAGTCTGAACCAATTACGAATGGCTAAAAATTGAAAAAGGGTCCAACTTCTTTTGGACGGAGTGTACAGGGTGCGCCAAATGTTCTTGCCGCGATATTTTTGGTTATAACTTTGCTGTGTTTCATCCCATTTGCATCAAAACTTTATCAAACATAGCAAACATATATGGCAACAACACGTTGTAAGGATTTTTCGAAATGTCCACCGTCGGCTGAGATACAGGCTTTCAAACGCTATGGAAAGTTGTCCACGATGGCCGTCAGCTGTTCGACCTTAATGTCGTCTCAAGCCTTAAGCAAACCCTTCTTCAGCGAATCCACACTGATGTGCGATATCGAGCAGGCCTTCTTCAAAATAGTCCACACGGCGTAATCCATAGGGTGAGATCTGGTGAGTTTTGAGCAACAGACATCCTTCCCCCCGGATTCGGGGGAACAGCCCTTTGCATCGTCATCGTCGTCTTCGCTCCGTGTGCAGGCGCCCAGTTTTCTTGCAGCGTCCATTCATTTTCGTCGAAATGGTCACGTGCCCAGGGGTCCAGAACTGCTCTTAGGATGCGGCCTTGATACACGGCTGCATTGATCCTCACCCCTTTTCCCCACAAAAACTAGGAGTCTTGCCAATGACACAAATCCTAGCCCACACCATCACCGACTGCGACCTGCTCACAGTTGCGGCTCTTCAAGAGCAAGGTCTGGACCCCAGGGCAGGTGACATTCGGCAGTGTGGATTCGCTGAAGAAAGGTTTGCTTAAGGCTTGAGACGACATTAAGGTCGAACAGCTGACGGCCATCGTGGGCAACTTTCCATAGCGTTTGAAAGGATGTATCTCAACCGACTGTGGACATTACGAAAAATCCTTAAAACGTGTTGTTGCCATATATGTTTGCTATGTTTGATAAAATTTTGATGGAATTGGGATGAAATACAGCAATGTTATAACCAAAAATATCGCGGCAAGAACATTTGGCGCACCCTGTATATGTTCCTTTCATTCCCTTGTCCTGGTTGTATCATGGAACGTGAATCAGGGCATGGAGCCAACAATTCCAAGTCACTTCGAGGTGTAGAACCATAAAATGCATATCGCACATTGCACAGGGAGTCTTAAATTAGCTCCCTTGCACCTAGAATAGATTAATCAGCAATATTCTCAACATTTATTTTATAGCACCATTCCATATTCTTGAAACAAATTGGAATTCTAAATTAAGTGTGCACGGATCATGTAATCACGTTAGTCTTTCACAAGTCACACCTGAATATTATCCGTTCCTTGTTTGCGCTTTGTAGCCCCTATCGGCAAGTCTTAATTGAAGGGCTGAAAAGTAGAAAGTAGAGAAAACTAGTCTGTCTGCAAAAAAAAAAATTATTTTCTCTAACTTCAGAATGAAAGGATGAATGAATGAATAGGGGCTAGCTATAAACGAGGAAAGGCGATATACGAAGACAGACCAGACCAGTTTTTCACTTGCATGAATTCCTCAAACTTCAGTTTTCAATAAAATTTGCATGAAACTGACTACTATTCATGGACTTTTTTCAGATAAATCACATTACCCTATCAGCCCTTCAATTTGAAACGATGCTGAGTTTTTTTTTAATATTCCGCGCATCGTTCATGTTTAAAATTTCACATTAGCTCCTCTTCACCAGATTGATATACCTCTTGTCTCCGAGTACAATACCTAAAGTTAATATTAAACTGGTGACATAATACTAAACGTTATGGATACTTCACATCAAAGCGACCTTCTACTCGTGCAGAAACTTGAGAAAAACCAAGGAAGAAAGAATAAAACTCTTGGTACTTTGATCCAAGTACAACAAATTACTCCAAGATAAATATTTAAATAAATTTTAAAAAATTGCACAGTCACAATGGGAGGAGGGAGAATTCCTTATTCAAGGAATGCCTTTTGAATAAGAAATTGTATGTGTGAAGGGGGGAGGGGAAAGAAATGGTTTACGATACTTTCGGTATGGGCTTGGACACTTTATGTCCCCAAGACAACAGGCTTAGCCTCATAAGTACATTTGAGGGCAGCATGGATGAGTTTGATGAAGCCAGTGTCCTTGGGCTTCTCTAGCCCCCGACGCAAGCGTTCCTTCATCACTGACACAAACTCCTTGTTGCTCAGCTGTCCGTCCATGTTTTCGTCAAAGAGGACAAACACAACCTCGATCACGTGGTCTGGGATCTTTACGTGCGCCACGGTATGGGCCACATGCTTCAAGGTTGCTGCAAAAGATAATGTATGCAAAAAAGAGGTTGGTCAATTCATTCTATACATCCGCCAATTAAGGCATTTCTTAATTGAAGAGTTTTCTGGGAAAAGGGCTGAGATGAAAAAGTTACAATTCAAGTAAAAGCAGCATAATACCCTCAGAGCTTACCTGTGACCAATCTGAAAGATTTCAGCAATGTGTTATCTTAGGCGGCTGCTTCTTTAACACGTTGACAACCACAGCAATGCGTGCCTATTGATTTTTCCATTCAGCAGTGGCGGCTTGTGGGTAAAAAAATTGGGTAGGCAGCAGTGGTGCAAAAAAAAAATGAGGGGGGGGGTGTGGTCACCCCCCCAATAATTCCTTTGCACCCATATGATCCCCATTTCTATCCATATTGACTAATTGAGCGTCCTCTTCAGAGGCGCAACCAAGGGGAGGGATCAGGGGGGTCTGAACCCCCCCAACCCCTGCTCATAATGGTTATCCCTCTACTTCTCCATCCCCTCTCCCCCCCGAGGGTGGGGAACGCAGAAAGATATGAGCAAACGACCTGAGAGCGAGGCTGGAAAGGCACGAAGATAGGTGAAAGGTGAAGGTCACGCCAGTTGCATGTAGCAACTCACTTTAGTAAAGTGAAACTGTCAAGGAAACGTCCTGCACGTGACGCTACTGAATTTTTCTCTGAAAACGGAAGGACGACAATTCAAATAAAAGGCACGAATCGTACAGGTTAATCAATTTCCAATTGCACATCTGCGCAGTGATTTTTGGGCGGAGTCTCGAAATTAATTTAGTTAATTTTAAGCTTTTTAAGATATCGAATGTACTTTTATCATTTAGTGTTCAAATTCCGTTTCCACCATTTCATAACATTTTTCTTCGTTTCATTTTCTTTGTTCGCGTCGTTTCGCGTTTCTGTTGAGTACAGGGTGTCACAAAAGTTCGTGCTATTTTTTTTAAGGTAATTTTTCAAAGAAAAATACATTTTGTAAAAAATTTGCAAACATACCATTATATAGTATTTTTTTTGCTCTTTCCACCGAGTACAAAATCTTTTAAGTAATAGCAGCCTTTTGTGTTTTTTTTTATGAAATCAAAGAGAAGCCATCAGGTATTTGCACAACTCGGGAATGCGAATTGTCGAGATTTCTCGACGACTGAATGTGCCGGATTCGACCGCCAGGAAAGCGCTTTATCGCTACGAGGAGCTCGGTACATCGTCTGATCGCCCTCGCAGGGGACGCCCTCACTCTGCGACTGACGCTGCTCATCGAAAAAATGTCCGTCAACGGTCCGAGAGGAATCCACGCCGTTCGCTGAGGAAGGTCGGCCAAGACGTGGGAATTTCGCATGAATCGGTGCGGAGGATCGTCCAGAACAGCCTTGGACTCAAGGCTTACAGGCAGCAAAAGGCGAAACTTTTGACTGAGGCGATGAAGGCCACAAGACTCGAACGATGCAAGCAGTTGTTTTGGAGCGAAATTCCCACCTCTTGGCCGACTTCCCTCAGCGAACGGCGTGGATTCCTCTCGGACAGTTGACGGACATTTTCTTGATGAGCAGCGTCCGTAACAGAGCGAGGGCGATCAGACGATGTACCGAGCTCCTCGTAGCGCTTTATCGCTTTCCCTGCCTTTCGAATCTGGCACATTCAGTCGTCGAGTCGTGCAAACACTTTTTGGCTTCTCTTTTCGATTTCATTCTTTAAAAAAACCCCAAAAGGTGGCTATTACTTAAAAGATTTTGTACTCGGTGGAAAAAGCAATAATATTACTATAGAATGGTATGTTTGAGAAATTTTGACTGTTTTTTTGCTTTGAAAATTTAACTTATACAAAAGTTCGTCCGATTTCCTGGTGATTTGATAACACCTTCTTGCATTCGGAGACATTTGAAAGACAGGTCATGTGAACGTCGAACCCCCCCCCCCCCCAAACTTTAGGATTGGTTGTGCCACTGGTCCTCTTATGATAGTAGCAGGCACATTCGCTCCTCTCTCTGCATCCCCTTCCCCACAGGGGCGGATACAAAAATTTTTCATAGGAGAGGGGGCAGTTCCCAAGTTCCTACCCCTCCGCCTGCCACCATTCCTCGTCCTTTCGCCTTTTTTATTTTTCGTCTGTGGTAAGAACTTGAGTATCTATTTCACTGGCTCCAATAAATTTAATGCAGATGTTATTTTGAATAAATAAAGAGGGGGTATAGCCATAGAAGGGGTTGTCGGCCCCCCCCCCTGTATCCGCCACTGCTCTCCCACCCACCACTCTCCAGTTTCTTCTGAGGGTCACCCCCCCTCCCCCTCACCCCTTGACTATAGGCTTGACATAAGTTTAGGATTTTTTAATTCAAAAATTGTAAATCCAATTCTAACATAATCAGAACTAGCCATCAAGGAAATTACTTGCATCTAATTCTAACAAAACATCACTGGGAAACAGTGCCTCTTCCAGAGAGAGCAACGAATGCGGGGTAGGAATAGGAAACTGAGTCTGACAGAAGCCCGTTCGAAATGATTCCTTATTCAGTCTGCATAATACTGTTGAATAGGTCTGATCAGGTGTGACAACCACAGAGGCTTCTACAAGCACATGCTTCTGAGGAGAGGACGTGAGCAAGCGATTCTCAACCTTCCTTCCTGTGCAAGGAGTAACTGCGCACCCTCACTCATTCCAGTATTGTGGTTTTCTTCCTTTTCTCCCTCTTCTCGTTCCTGCATTGGACTCGTGGGAATTTGAGCGTAGGCAGGCAGCGCCGTGCCCACTCTGGACGTATAATCTCGATTTGCTTTTACCTCGCAATGGAAAAAAAGTATTTCTAGCTGTGCTAATCGAAGAATTAATTAGCAAATATTAATTTGAGAACTCTGATTGATTGTAAACTTTGACGAAATTGACGAGCCACCACTGCCATTCAGTCAACCTGTTAAACTGCTTTAACTAAATTTTCTCTCAAGTAGCCAGTTATTATAAACCAGCCAATTATTCTCTTTCTCCAATTCTTAAAATATCAAGAGAAACTGACAGTGCATTTGATAGAAGTAGGTCTGGACAACCCCGATCAAGTATTTTTTCCCTCTGGGGGAAACCTCAACTTGGTTGTATATGAAACTGAGATGCGAAATGCTGAAAATTTGAAGAACAGAATTATAATGGTGTTAACAAATTGGGAGACATCCTCACTCATGTTTCTGACCATGCCAGGATTTTTCACATACAAACATGAAATGCGATTTGAGCATCTCATTTAAAGCTATGGTAACAGACTTTTGACTCACCTTATACAAGTTTAAATGCAAATCAAGAAACAGTATGAACTTTCAGATATATAGTTAGTGTAGTCAATACAGTAGAACTCTGTTACAACGACGAAGAGCGCCAGGTCCAGGCGTAAAGCCCCTAAGGTACGAGAAATTTTACCTGTTATAACAAAGTCCATTCAAGGTCTCAATGACGAAATTAACAGTGTTGACGTCCCCAATTCATTTTTAACTGGAATTTTCCATCATCGGAAGAGTGAGCAAAAGATAAGGTTACGGCTCCCTATAACTTTACCTTTCCTGGAATCAGCATTCCTTGGGTGTCATGTAGGTGTGACCGGAGGCGGGATAATCCCCAGTAACTAAAAAGATAATATTATCTACAGTCGCCATTTGCATTTCTCGTTGACAACATGGCCAGTGAAAAGCAAAAGAGGCAAGCATTTGCAATTAACAATAAAGTATGCATTATTCGTTTAATAGAAAATGGGCGAAGTAAAGCTAACGTCTCTCGTCAACATGGACTTCCTAGTTCATCTGTTTCCACAATTTGGAAAGATCGTTTCATCCGTACTTAGAACATGCCACGAAACAAGCACCTTTGTAGATCTGCTCGAGATGACATCAACAAATCTAAAGAGGTGTGGGTTCCAAAGAAGTGCGAACAACAAGATTAGTGGATTAATTGCTTAAAGTGAAGCTAGTGCGGGACGAGCAATGTGCACCAGAGTTGTATAAAGCATCTATTTTGAAAACAAGGAAACGGAATGTCAGTAAAGGCAATCTCGGTTGTGAAGACCTGGTCCCTTCAATGATGTAACCCAATTCGACTGTATTTCAAAATGCATATTTGATACGGACCTATTTTAGTATTTTACCCATTTGCATAAAATGCACCTGACATCTACCTTTTCAAACTGCAAGATATGAAATGAAGAAATGTAAAAAATTACAAAGCTCAATTTTCATATCAACTGTTATTAAGGTTATTTAAGCAAGAAAAATTTCAAAGCCCTTAAAAGTTAAAATGTATTATTCTGAAGAAAAGGGAAAGGTAGAGGGCATTTTCTAAACCCTGAAATTAGGCCTACAAGATTGGATATATTTGAATATTTGCACTTTTGAAATTGCCCAGAAGATATAAGCATTTTAAAAATAAAATCCATGAATTCTTGAATGAAAGGAGAAACACACCCTGGTCAATAGAAGCACCAGCAATGTGGTAGAATGTGAGGGCAGTGTCTACATCATTAATGTTGCTGAGGAACTTGAAAAATTCAAGGTATTCGTCCAGGGAAATCCCAATGGGATGATCCTTGAAATGCTTCTTGACACGCTTCAGGATACGTTGCTTCCGCTTTGGACTGAACCCACTGTAGGCAACAAGGAGGGAAGCAAACTCTTTGGCTGAGATTTGCCCATCCTCATCTGGCTCCTTCCTCTTGAACTTCCATACAGAAATAAAAAAATCCTATCAATAGGTATATTCCACTATCCAAGAATCCTCATTTCATAAGGCTCAAAAGAAAACATATCTATAGATAGTCTCTAAATGTTCAATGCCAAACAACTGCCAACCTAGTACCATCCTTAAATACCTCATCTCATGGCAATCAACACATGCTCTGGAATGGTTAGTGGATATTCAATGCTGAATAGAATCGCCTCTCCCCCAATGCCATTCAATGAAATGACCAAGGGTTAACAGCAGCATACTACTAGTATAATTAGAACTTCACATTTTTCCTATAATGGGAGAAAGAGACTTGTGTTTTAATGTAATTATCAGTTTGTGCATTTCAAGAAAATAATGTGGCAACTAATCTCCTTAACCCTTTCCCTGGCAGTGTTATCCAAACACTGAGAATGTCGAATTAATAATGGGATGACGCCAAGGAAATGGTTAACGTCTGTTTTGTCTACATTGGAAATGATTTCAATAAGAACAAAAATAAAGACAGCTCCAGCTAGTCATAGTTTGGAGCTAGTTAAATGTTTCTCAAGATGGATTCATGGTATTTTATAACTACCTGTGTTACAATAGTGTCTTATTTATTCTTATTGAAATCATTTCATCAGCAATCAGCGAAATCTTAATTTAATGTACTACAAGATGTAATGCATTCAAGTTTTCATAAAAATAGCACAATTCACTAGAAATTCACTAGGTGAAACTCACTTCCAATGTTAGGATTTCCTTTTGGAGCTGCTCATGGAACACTAGGAACTTCTCAATTGTTAATTTCTCCTTGAAGTGTGGACCAAAGAAATAGGCACTCAGGGCAGAGTTCATTCCCTGCAAGTGAGCACAACAATTCACATTTTGGATTTGAAAAGCAGAAAAGGACCAAGACATATCATAACATGCTTCCTTTCTGTTTATACAGAGGAGAAAATAATGCTGTAAATGCTTAAGCTTCTAAATGGGAATTCTGTAATGCTGCAAATAGCATAAAAATAGAATATGTTCAGTCTACTAACAAGTTTTCATAAGTACTGAAGACATAAGTGTCCTCATATGCTGTAAAGCATATGAGGACATGTCAACTCACCACATAGCACCCCCTCAAAATTTAACATGAAATTTGGTCTTCATTAGCCATATATCCTGTCTTTCACATTTTAACCTTAACAGAGTAAGAGCCACGCACCGGCAAATAGACGCCTCATTCACGTGCGCGGGAGACGAGTTTAGGAAAGCGCATCCTTGTGACGTCATAGAGGGGAGTGGGGGTTGGGGAATGGCTTGGTTGGTAGCTTTCTTGGCTCCCATGACAGGGGACCCGGGTTCAAAACTAAGCAAATCAGGCTTTTTTCCCCGTCATGGGGAAAGGGAGACCTCTTAGCAACAGGTACTTCCGTTCCGAGACGTGGAAAATTTAAAGAACCCGAATGGTGAAGGCCGAACCCGTATAATCACCTGGAGAAAATCGAGAGGTTGCTCGGTACTTGGCTATTAGTTGAGGTAAGAGGATGGTGGGAAGTGTTAGAGGAATTCCAGAGTGACAATGAACGCATGTCGCCTCGCCTTGTAAATCTTCCTTGGGAAGAGCAAAATCCAAATTCAAAACAAAAATCCCAGCAAGGATTGCCAAGGTTTCTTTTCCGGAATAATCAGTTATAGGACCCAAACTACTTTTGCGTGCACCTCATTTGATTTATTTCTTTAAAAAATCTGTGTTTACGTGGATGGCTGGTTGGGGTGAAGTAGATACGTACTCATACGCTACAGTGATTTTTCTAAGCAAAGAGGAAGGTTTGACTCTGTTGACATGTCGATAAGAGGATTTTCAGTTCCCTGTCACCCTATGAATAACATATTCTGCCTGGCAATTTGAACCTATGTGTCAGTGCTAGCTCTGTCAAGAAGAAATGTTCATTTTCTTTTCTCTACGTCTTTCTCTGTCCCTGCATAGCCCTTTTAGCATTTTCCTTATTCAGAAACCTCATCCTCATGAATGCCCGTGTCCGGATGCAGTACCGAATAGCCAATGAATGCAAGTAGGGGCATTTCCTCTCTAATGCCGGAACGAAAGCATCGATGACATATTCTCCTAGACGGATACCATTCCCATGGTGTTCCAAGAATTCCGCCTCCAGAATTCTTGCATCATACAGGGAATACCGATGGATAAGAAAGAAACGGCTACACATAGAAAAACTTTCAACGCGTAGGCTACATTAGTATAGTATAAGGTTGCTGGGTAGGCAAGCAGAGCGCAAAGGAAAACTGAGTGCGCGAGAACAGCGAAGAGGGAGAGAGAGATACTAGGGGCCTAGACTACTGGGGAAAGAGTGAGCTGAAAGCATCGAAAGTGTAACTAGAGGCCTCACTCCGAGAGGTTGGGGAGGGCCGAAATATTACAGAGACATCTGATGGCATGTTATCAACATTTCCTCGAGGCGTGCTTCGTGGCAGCGGAATCAGGAACCGACTCATTTGGGGATTCGACCCAAAGGGATCCATCAACGCGTGTCTCGTTGAGTCCGCTGCTCGGCCATGGAGTTGATGTGCGCACGTTAGGTGGAGGATCGACAGCGACATTTGTATTGTGACCCTGTCAATCAATGGGATTCGAGCGGAGTGTTGCCTCTAGTTTTTGAGACGAACGACGATCTGGCATTAGACGTTAAGGTACAGGATAACTTGGGAGATTCAGACCACTGCGCGATCACGTGGAATATCAAGCGGACGAAGAGTAACGCCAAACCGAGGAAGGTTTCGTACAACTATAAGAAGGCTAATTTCGAGAGACTACGCGAATGCGTTTCAGGCATCGACTGGGAGGCGCGGCTCCGTGGACTGTCGGTAGAGGAGCAATGGGGGGCGTTCAAGACGTTATTGCAGGGCTTCATGGAGGAATGCATTCCCAAGAAATCCATAAAATCGGGTAGGCAACCGGTCTGGTTAACGGGTAAAATCAAAGCTCTCATCAGGGATAAAAAGCGGAAATTGGATGCGTACAAGCGCACGGGAGATAGCACGGACTATGAGGAATATAGGAGGATCACGCGGACGTTGAAGCGGGAAATCAGATCTGCGAAACGGGAGGTCGAGGAACGGCTGGCTAACGATGCTAAGAAGAACCCTAAGGCTTTTTATCAGTATGCTAGTGGTAGGTGTCGACATTCGATCGGGCCGCTAATGAACGAAAAGAGGGAGTTGATTGCAAGTGATAAGGATATGGCCAGTACAGTGGTACCTCGCATAACGAACGCAATTCGTTCCAGCGGTGCGTTCGTTATGCGAGGTGTTCGCGAGTGAAAGTGAAACATTTTTTCCTAATTTCCTTGATTTTTCGAGGCGACGTGGAACGGATTACATGATTAACCATAGACGTCTATGGGAAATCGTGTTTCGCATAACGAACACCTCGCATAACGAACGCACCGCTGGAACGAATTGCGTTCGTTATGCGAGGTACCACTGTATACTTAACGAGTTCTTCGCTTCCGTTTTCACTGTGGAATCCGACTCGGCACTCTGGAGGAGGTGACCTCGGCGCGCATCGAAGATATTTCCATCACCGAAGAGACGATCGTGAATACGATAGGGAAGTTAAAGGTGGGCAAGGCGACCGGTCCCGATGGGATTCCTGCGAGAGTCATTAAGGAAACCGCGAGAGAAATATCGGTTCCGCTAAGAATTCTATTCGAAAGCAGCTTTTCGCGCGGGGAAGTACCTAAGGACTGGAGACTAGCAAACGTCGTACCGATCTTTAAGAAGGGCGAAAAGAGTCATCCATGAAATTACAGGCCTGTAAGTCTCACGAGTATCCCAGGGAAGATCATGGAGAGCATACTTAGGGACCATCTCTTGGATCTTGGATTTTCTCGAAGGAAACGCGCTCATTCGGAACTCTCAATACAATTTTAGGAGGCGTCGAAATTGTCTCACCAATTTGCTCGAATTCTACGACTGGGCGACGGAAGAGAGGGATGAGGGGAATCCCGTGGACATCGTCTATTTAGATTTCGCGAAAGCTTTCGNAGTAATTACGAAATCATAATCTTCTGGAACGTTCTCAACAGTTCCAGAGGATATTCATTGAAAAAAAATCTGCATCCTGGCATCAGGACACATTGTCGCCAACGTGTTCAGGAACCCTCGACCTCGCCACGTGATATCGAAATGGGTGAAATCGCCTCTTGATATCACTAAACTATCTTGAATCTAGTTATGCTCTCTATGCTGAAAGTGTCCCCTTTTATGCGCATACTTGTAACGTTACTCTGCATGAGCGCATATTCACGACCTCTATGATGGGGCTTGGTAACAGCTCAAAAGTAACAGTAAGGTGAGGGTTTAGGGGCATAACATGACCAAGTAAAAAAAAAAAAGCTACTTTCATAGAGATTGGACATAGGAAACTTGCCGCAAAAAAAGGCAAAAATGAAATAAAAAATTGGGTTTTGTGCATGTCTGGCAACATTGCTCATTATTATTAACCTTTGACCTTGAATTTGTCCATGTTGGACTCCAGATACCAAGTTCCTGAAAACATTATATTAAAGGTGGATTAAATTCCTAAAAAGTGAGGAGTTTTCAGAAATGTAATGTTTTCTTTTTCCTGTAACAAAATTGAAGGATTTGGGATTCGAGGAATTCCATTGTGATAAGCCTAAGGATTAAAAAAAAGAATGCCACTTCTCAAAATAGATAACTTTTCAGAATAAATTATTCATATGGGAGGATTTTTTTCATTCATTCGGTTTCCTTTTAACTTTCAAGGAATGTAGTTCAGTGCTCTGCTACTAAGTATAAGCTAATAATTTCATTTAATATATATATAGACTATCGTGACTGACTGACGCTAATTCTAACCATGTTCTAGAAAGGCTAGAATTCTGAATCTTGGTACACAAGTACCTATTGGGATGCAGAGTTCAGAAAAAATCCGCTTTTGGAGATACATGCGCTGGTGGTACAAATTTTGGGGGGAGAAGTTTTTAAATATATATATTGTGACGGATGAGGATGGCATCGAGAGGATCAACTGGATGTCCCGGGTTCGGTGGTGTAGTGGCAGCACACCTGACCGGCAATCGGGAGGCCCGGGTTTAATTCCCGGCCATTCCTTGGCTCTCTTTCGGCCTCTCTTCCCTTAATCCCGTTACTCATTCCCCCTCCGAAACAATATTTTGCTTTTGTAAAACGGAGAGACATGGAAAGCTGAAACCTGGCATGGACCGAGACGATGAGTTTAGGAAAAATGTGAAATTTTATATCCATGCTCTGGGGGCACAAATTTCAAAGGGAGATGTTTTCAAATTTTTTCTGCATCGGATGAACATGGAAAGCTGAAACCTTGCATGAATGTGACTACTGAGACAAGAAGTTAAAGAAAACTGTTAAGTCTCGATACATCCCCTGGGGGAATTTTTTTCGAAGGGTGATGTTTTGAAAGAAATTTTTTTTTTGTTGTGGCGAATTGGACAGAAATGAAAGGTGAAATTTGGCACACGTATAAGTGACATGACATTGAGCTGAGGGAATATTCAGCTTCCATGGTGCATCTCCTCCAGGTATAGCTTTCGGGTGGGTCGGCTTTTCTAAAGATATTTTTGCACCAGCAAAAAGAGTAAATGAAACTTGGCATGCACGTTGTTCTTCGAGTACTGATTTCAGTAAAAAATGTTAATTTTTTGGTGAAACCCCTGAGGGCAATTTTTTTTTTCAAAAGATACATTTTCAGGAAACTTTCCTGATTAGTTCTCTCATTCATTTAAAGAAAGTTGAACCTTCTAACAGAAGTACCTGTTCGATTTCCAAGTGCACATCTTATTTTTAAAATAAGACCCCTCAGGACAGATTATGAAGAGATTTGAAGTCAGGCGTACAAGAAATAAATGGTGTAATTATTTAGATGGAAATACTGGTTCTCTCTAAGCACACATTTCGACAGGCACATACTTTTTATGTTTTTGCCACTTCGAAATAAATTTAGGAATGAATCACTAACCTGGACAATGGAGCGCCGAAGGCGCGACCAGTAGTAACTTAATAAACCTAGCTAGTAACTTAATTAACCTAAAATATAAGGTGCTTGCATCAAGGATCATACAGTCACCATCAGTCAACGACTTCATTAGCAACTTAGCAAGCAAAACTGTTGCTCTCATGTGCCTCCAATATACTGTTAAGACTCAAAGCACTTATCTGAAAGAATTGAAGCAGGCTATATTGTCCAAGTTGCTGCTCAGAAGTTCCACAAGGAGAATACTCAAACCACTCTTCATGCTTTTGTGGCATACTGCCATTTTTCAGCTCAGGATAACAGCATGCAGTACACAAGCATGGGTATCACTCACAAATGATAATGCTGTTGTGTGCTTTTGGGATTCCCTAAAACACATAACAGCAACTGTTCATCCCCATCAGAAATGTGTGTTGCCTCACCTACAGGAGACCTTTCCAATATTAAGCAAGACCAATTATTTCTCAGATGACTGTGCTGGTCAGTATAAGATGCAGTACAACTTCATGAACCTGTTACCATCAGAAAGATTTCAACCTGGAATGCAAGAGGAATTTCTTTGCCAAAGCCTATGGCAAGAGCCTTTTAGTTTTTCTCCAATCCCAATGTGAAGTGGCTGACTGCTAAAGCAAGTCTTTGGCAACCCGCTGATGGACAGCTCCTGACACCCAGAGACAACTTTCAGTCCTGTCAAGTGGTCCTTCAAGATAAGCTGAGCCAAAACAGCACTTGAGATACTTACTTTTGTTCGAAGCCCATGCTATCCAGAGTCGATGAAAATAAAAAAAATAGTTGAATGCAATGAGTGAGCTGCGTATATTGTATTCCGAAGCTCAAGTATGCATGATTACTACTTCCCTGGATTTCAGGCATCAAGTTCATAACAGAAGAGGAAATTCTTGCATCAGAAAAGCTGCTTGAAAGAAAATTCTTACTAGGCAAGGACTGTTCTTGGTCACAGAATATCTATGTCATCCCTTTAAGCCAAGAACTACTCTAAACTTTAGTTCTGTTGCAAGATCTCAAAAATTATGAGAACCCCAGAATTGGGAAGGACAACAAGGAAAGTGACAAAGAATAGATTTTGAATTTAGATTTATCTAGCCTATGATCACTTTTCTTGCACCGGGGGAGACTCTTTTCCAAAATGTGAATTTAAAAATATTGCCTTGCATAGTAAAAGGTGGAAGGAGTGAATACTCTCAACTTTTTAACTTTTCCTGACTATCAGTGCATGAAATGAAAGATTGTTCTCATCAGAAGTTACCAGAATGAAATACTCCATGTATAAAAATCTTTGAAATTTTTTTTGTTGAAAACTAAAAACATTACATCTCAAAATTTCAATTTTTATGGAACAAACCCACCTTTCACCAACTTTTAATCCAGAACCTAACATGGTTTAAAGTCAAAGATTACAGTTAGCCCCTTCAAGAGTATGTCCAAGTAATTGATGGGCTTCTCTCATAGTGTCAGCAAAACCTACCAATGAAGGAGTTAAACTTCATCATACAGATTTAATCTCCCATGTAAGAGCTGGCAGCTAGATTTTTTCTACGCAGCTCATATACACTCACTAGCTGAGTAGTGAAACTGTTCTAGAAATAAACTGTTGACAGTGAAGCAATTATCATCAGAACATTTTTCAAAAAAGTTGTGGTACAGCATTTGTTCCTTCAGGCCATGGAAAAATACCTCCAGAGTCGCACAAAATTTCTACCTTCCTCCATTTTTAAAATCTTGTACAAAAAAAGGAACACCTGAGTCAAGTTATGAGTCTTTGAAGTGAGTTCATCAGGCTACTGCTCCAAAATTTGAAATCACTGTAACCTTGAACCATTGTACTGTGGGCCAGCCATGTGCAAAAATAATTTTCATCCAGTGAAATGAAAGTCAGATAGTGATTGTCATTGAATGAAAATGATTCAAGAGATAATGACTTATTCCGGTAATACTCTTTCTCTCAACTTGAGCACCAGCTAGTAATGAAAAAGTCTGGGTACATTTTCATGGTAGACATCACGTTTTAGTGAAGTCACTGAAGAAGATGGCTGAAGCTGCTGGTAAGTTGAAATTGGTATTATGAAATCATGAAAAACAAGTCAGTCTTTTTTGTAGAGTTTGAGTAAAACCTCTCATTTTTCTGCTGAAAAATTACTGAAAGATTAAATTGCAAAAGTCATCCTGGAGAATTTGGTTTTTAAACTAGGATGGTGTGTAGGGCTTAATATATGGTGAGGAAATATCTACAACTGGATGAGGGATGCAGGAGGAGACTTGATCATGAAAGCATTCTAAACAAGCTTGTCATTATTTGGGTCAATACAATTTGCTTGGAACTGCCTGAAAATCATTTGAATCTAGCTCAACATGTTCAGAAAACATTATTTAAAAAATTTCTTTCACTATAAAATAATATCGCTGATGTTTAATTTCTGTGCATGTTTTTGCCATTCTGGCCCACTGGTCCAATCAAAATAAAATTTAACATATGAAGGTTTTGAGCCATGAATATTATGCAACAAATTAGAGCCAAATCTGAAGGGGTGTTGATTGCCTGTTTCCTTGTTTGGCTTGACAAGGAATGACCCTAAAATTATTACGTGGGTTTCATATTTGCAATATTTGTGATTAAAATACCTGTGAAAAAGCAATTGTCTCATATGTCCCCTACATGTATGAATGTAAGTTTGTACACTGGCACCTTTTCAGTCTCTCTGGCACACATGCACTATTTCTGTTTGTGGCCATGCTCCTTGAAAGTGGATTCCAATATTGTAGACAACACTGAAGTCTGATTGTAGCAAGCAATAATACATTGAAGTGATGAACATGTTTAAATTTCCACTTCCCAGCATGGCCTCTTTTAGCAGTAATGTATAGTGGCAAGCTGAAAGGGATTAGGAAAGGGAGAAATGACAAAATGTTTCCATGAATTTAGGTTCAGCAAAAGTCAACTTTCTCCAATTCCATGATATTTTCATCCTGCAAATAAAAAAAAAAGGTTTTACAGTAATAGAGCATGGCACTATATAACATAGAACATGGCAATAGCCAGAAGTTACTATATCAGTGGCATAGGATGTATTGTGGTTTGCAAATGAATCTCAACTCTATACCACATCTAACATGGCTTCATTGACCTAGTACCACTTCTTTCATAATACTCCATCGCCTTCTTCTATTTACCATATGATATTGATTTCATTTCCAAATCAATGTTCAACCAGTCTTGTGTGCTGTCGGGGCTGTGGGCATGTCACTTGTCAAGAAAAGGAAATCACAGGTGATTGTCAACAAACATCCTATGACATGTTATACGTCTCACCATGGGATTTCTCATTTGCCTTGTTAACTATGCTCAAACTCACTTGAAAACTTAAAAAAAACATACTTACTTTTCAAAGGAAGGGACTAGCAGAGAAGATACTGGGGGGGGGGGAAGATTTATGCAAATGATGGACAAAGTGAACAAGGCAATCTAGAACAGGATTAGGAATTGCATTGGCAATAATGGTCAGCAGATTGAGGCATACTGCTAATAAGTGCTGAGTTGTTTTGTCAATAGGTGTTTGGCAATCCTCAATGTATTTCTCACAAGAGCAGCACCATATAACCTTCGATCAATGGGTGAACATTTGTAAGAATTTCACCACAAACAATTTTTTAAAACTATTTTCTACATAGATACAAATTTTCATGATTCTACAATGTAGGGAAGGCATCAGGATTTTCACTTATTATTGACCCTATGATCTGTCTCCTCCTGTAGTATGAAAGCAATAGAAAATAACAGACCTTGAAGGTGTTGCCAGTGACAGCATGATCTCGGTGACGGATGCCAACTGAGGTTTGATGGCGAATGAGGGTTGCCACTTCATTAAACTCCTCTGCATCCACATCTCCGTCTCCATTCAGATCAAACATCTGAAATGCCACCTCAAAGTGTCTCCGGGATGCTGCAACACAAGTCACAAATCCCACATTAATATAGAAAATATTGAAAGGACTATGCATAAAAAAATAGATATAAATGGAGATTCTGATTCTTATTCAATGAAGGTTGTGGGTCCCCCTACCCAGCAGAGTTCTAATAAAAATATCTAAATCACTTGCCCAGATTTTTCATTTTTTGGGGATTTGGTTTTCCAGAAGAACTTCTCAAAATATATATTCACACATGAAAATGCATATTTTGTGCACATTGAGGTTCTGACTTCTTCCAATTTTCTTGTGCTTGGTTATTGAAATATATATATTTGTTCTACTGAAACCCAACCATGGTCCCTACTGAGATACCATACCACACAAACTACACAAAAGCACCCTGGAGGGCACTTGTCCCATTGTTGCACCAGGTGATTGATTCAGATAGCAGTGGCATCACCCTATCTGCAATAACACTGCTATGTTTGCTGTCTCATGGCCTTCAGGCAGGTTTCATTTGAATGATTCTTATAAATCTATCAGACTCCTTAATCACATCCCACCTTCCCTAATTATTCCAAGTTTGCTATGTCAGTGTCATAGGATCATTTTTTGTCATATTTTCTTATTCAGTAAAAAAAAAAAAAAAAAATTTCCCTTGCATATTACCAGGTTGCTGATCCTAAGGGAGCCATGAGAACAAAACTCAGTAAGAATAAGCATCCAAAACAAAACAGTGAAATACCTAACACTGAAGGCACTAATACCTGAAATGGAATAAAACAATAAAATGACATCACCCAAAAGGAAATATTTGGCTTAATGCTTGAATACTTACAAAATTTGGACTAGCTTTTCATGTTTCTAGCTATCTGGCTCATCATACAGGAAGTTATTCACAAGTGAACAAAGAAAGCATGTCTCAAATGACAGAGGGAGTAAGACAGCAGTCTCCATCAGCTTTAGGCAATGTCTTTGGCCTTTGTCTTACATTCCTTTTTATTCAGGACTTTGTTCTATTCATTTTTTATATCATTCATATCATGCTATTATTTTCTGAATGGCCACTGAATACATTGAATTCATGGTCAACATTGAAATATCCATGAAGATGACGTGTCATTCAAACACTACAACCCTGTTGACCATGAACAGCAGTTGTGATTGTTTTGAAGGCTTTTTACCACTAGAAATGGGCATTTTGTTGCAGAGAGGAACTTAACGGCATTAGATTCTGTTCAAAATGTTTTCTGGTGAACTATATACAGGGTAAGTCAAAAGACCATTACCATAGCTTTAATGAGATTCTCAAACTGCATTCCATGTAAACATTTGCATGTTAAAATCCTGGCTTTCACATGGTCAGAAACATGAGTGAGGTTATCTCTAATAATTTTTTTACACTGCTATGGCCTACCCTGTATGCACTTAAATGCCTTAAACATCTCTTGACTAAGTGTCCATAATACCCTCCATGAACTTCTGGGTCTGAGGACTCAATTCGCTATTTGGAATCTTCATCACTTCTCATAAGGGCGGAAATAGGCCCGAGTCAAATGATGCAAATTGATGTTCGAAAATTTCGATGGAAGTCAAAGGTATTTTTAAAGTATAACTAGCGGAGTAATTAGGTTTACGAGTTTGATCCCGAAACAAAACGCCAATCCACAGTTTAACGCTTCCTTAGAGATGGCTCACCACAAAAAAGTCAAGGGAAATCGCAGCTTCGGGAAACAAATGATGGTCCCTTTCTTTTCAAAAGGAGGTCACGTGGCAACTGTGCCTCTTGAGGATAGGCGCACTGTCACTCCCCATTGGTATGTGAATCCCTGTACCCTTAAAGCGTTTGAAAGTTGGACCACTAGGCGACCAGACAGGCCTCAGAGGAGTTCAATGGCAACATGACAATGCCAGTGCACACACGATAGCATGAGCTGACCTTCTTCGTATTTTTTTTTCTTGGGGAGGGGGTTCTGTTGACTTGCTGCCCCATCCACAATATTCTCCGGACCTAGCCGCCCACTGACACTTTCCCTTTCTACTTGATCAAATAAATAACTCACGAGGCACGTTTTTGACGACACAGACATAGCCAGATAAGCATATGAAAAGGTCATTTCTGACATACTTAGAGAGTGGAATTCCAACACATGGTTTCGTGGCGCACCGAACTTTGCACGCAAAAAAGAAAGGAGAATAAGAAATTGCGACGATTCCTGCATGAATAACGAATTTTTCAGGTACGAATATAAAAACTTTTTTGGTAATCCTCAGACAAGGGCCTTGAACCAGTTTTCAAAGCCTTCTAGTGCGCAAAGCTAATAGATGTAGGCAATGAATAAATCTTCACGCATTATTATTTATAAATAATACGTCATATACGTGACTGTTCAAGTCCAGAATGGACCAAACGCGACAGACCATTCCTTGGGGAATTATTACTTTTCCAATTGAGATTTTTCGTACGAGGGCAGATATCTATGAAACAGGCTTTCGACTTTCAAACTGTGATACCGTAAAATGTTTTACGATCAACTGAGGTAATCTGTTGATAATTAAAAAAATGATACCGAAGGTGAAGTCGTGAGGAGGTGATTATTTTATTTAAAATTATTTTATTATTTTATTATATTATACCTAATTGCCTGCCTGTCTGTCAAAGCCCTGCTTTACTTCGTCTCGGGCTCATTTTTTGGAAAGCAGACGGGAGAGGCCATAAGTGCGACAAATAAGGTTTTTACTGATTTTTTGTGAATTAAGCCATTTTCACTCAGTTTCGAGTTGCTGCTCTGGGCAGCATATGAAAATTTCCAATATTGCACTCTATGGAAACGGACACATCTAAGGAACATGAATGCAACAAGGAACATGATTACATCAAAGGCAGCGTCAGCCATATTTTGAGGACTCCATCACATCGCGAAAACGCAACTTCCGAGTGTCCCATTTTGGGGATGCTTGTAGAAAAATGGATTAAGAGTGGTCTCTACTGGGCAAGGACAGACTATACGCAATCATACGAAATACATCAGAACATTATGAAAGCAGCTGAGATCCAGTAACTGCGTTCTGATGTTCATTCCCATTCTCCATTTCAATCATCATTCGATAAGAATGGGCGGTAAGAATTCGGTAAGAATGGACGCCGGAAACGAAAGGGCTTTATTGGGGCAATAGGTAATGAATGAGTAATGGGCAGCGGGGGTGAAAATGGGGACGAAATGAAGTCTGAACAGGGTTTCTCTTCATTTCATCTCGCTTAGATAGGCTGGAAGGAAGGAAGGAAGGAAGAAAGAGAGAGAGAGAGAGAGAGACGCCTCGGGGTGAGACTCACTCTCCTTTCTAAGTCCACATTCAATCCCCTGGCCCTGCAGTCCATCTTCGAGCATAGATGGGAGAAGAGCCGCTGGAACTGGTGCGCCTAGTGTGCATTGAGCTGGATCGGCCAACACTACAGTGAGAAAAATCAGTGGCCAGTGCATCAAGTCCACTACCACGAAAGCGAGATGGGCCACTGGTGGGAATAGCAAGCGAGTAAGGTGGAGCTAGTGGGAGCTGCACTGGATGAACTACTACGAAAGTAAGAAGACCGGCAGTGGGGATTATGGCATCACATGACATGCAACGCGACACAACACTCGCCCATGGTATTTCCCCCTCTTTTTTCCTTTCAATTTTACTCAAAATTAATTTCGATTGAATTCCCCTCTCCTCTCAATTTAAATTATATTTTAATGCATATCAATTATGTAACAAATAACTAGAAACTTAGCATTCCGCAAATGATAGAGCCTTGCGGAGAGGATTTTACGGTTTTAGCGAGCTTCCTCTCCTGAAGGGGATTACTCCTGGGGGTAAAATGAAAAAAAAATGTTTTGAATTGACATAATTGATCCTGAAAGTCACATGGAGTTCGTAAGAACGAGCGATACAAGATAAAATGGGTATACATTCCACCAGTTTTTTTTCGCATTTCCTATAAATTGCACGTGCCGATGCGACTCTTCGAAGGCAAAATTGGGATCAATGCCGTCATTCCTCGAGGCGTGAGTTGTCTTGTACTCTGGATAAAATAACCTCTTCGCATTTGAGGTAGTCATTGCGCTTAGGTCAATATTCATTGTCTTTTCTTTCCTCCATCGAAGGACGTAATGGAAATCTGTCTGATAATCGCCCTAATGAGAAATTCAGGAGAGAGGATTTCGTCGTGGATAATGACGACCAGCACTCAAAAGGAAAACAAACCTGGACAACAAATGGAGATAACAGAGAACCGAGGTGTCCTCTCTAAAATAAAAGCACCAATTGAAGCTTCTATCGAGTAGGAATAGCCCCCTGAAAAATACAGCTATAAACGAAACATTTAAAGAAAATTCAAGGCAGTTGCAACCCTCCAATCCTCAAGTCACGAAAGAAGCTTTGCTCAAGTTTTACAATATTTCAGTAAAACTGGATTCCATAGCGATTTCAGAAAGACAAGAGAAAAAAATATCGCAGAGGTGAAATGCTCAAAGTATGCCATGGTCTGATGAGATAGAAAAGGATTCTATGAGGCATCATTAATTGTGTGCATGTTTCCCCAGATGCTATTTTTATTTGCTATATCTAGGAGTCTTCGCCGCTTTTTCCGTCGGTAATGTCGAATAGGTAATATGGAATGGTCATATTCAGGGACGGTTGAATTTACGATTATCACGTAATGGGAGCTGGAAAAAAAAAAAATATATATAACCAGTTCATGCCCTTCATTCATGTACGGAGCGTCGGCGACGCTATCTACTGCCCAATCCATGAACTTCTTCATGAGGAAAGAATCATACAGATCGACACCGGGTGTAATAGAGAAAGCTAGGGGCAGAATTGGTCTTCTTGAGCTTCACTACGTTACAATATCAACTTTTTCATCTTTCTCTTCTTTTCTTCCCCCCTCCCCTTCACCGGAAACAGAGGATACGATGAAGATAAAGCTGGGAATGAAAGAAATCTTGGGTCACTGACTCCCTGATGAAGCCACAAATGACATCAAGTTTGT